TCTTTCCAAGTCTCTTCTAAGTAAGTGAACTGGGACTGAGGAAAGAACTAAAAAGGAATGACTGTCCTCCCGGAGAGGATCTAATTGAAAAAGCAAAAGTAAGGATTTAAACACTCCTGAAGGTGTATTAGAAACTCCCCCTAGCCCTCTGAGAAAAGGACTGCTTGAGGCGTGTGGGGTTCAGCACAGAGAACGCTGCTCTGGTGTCAGAGAGCATGCCAAGAATCTCCTCTCTGATCACTGGAAAGTTTGCACAAAAGATGAAGGGGTAAGATCAGAATTCTTTTTTTTATTCTTTTTTTAAACTTTTATTTAATAAATACAAATTTTGAAAGTACAACTTTTGGATTATAGTGGCTCCCTCCCCCCCATAATTTCCCTCCTACCTGCAACCTTCCCATCTCCCGCTCCCTCTCCTATTCCATTCACATCAAGATTCATTTTAAATTATCTTTATATACAGAAGATAGAAGATCAATTTAGCATATACTAAGTAAAGATTTCAACAGTTTGCACCCACACTGAAACACAAAGTGTAAAGTACTGTTTGAGTACTAGTTATAGCATTAATTCACATTGTACAACACATTAAGGACAGAGATCCATCATGGGGTGAGAGTGCACAGTGACTCCTGTTGTTGACTTAACAACTGACACTCTTGTTTATGGAGTCAGTAATCACCCTAGGCTCTTGTCATGAGTTTCCAAGGCTATGGAAGCCTTTTGCATTCACCAACTCTGATCTTATTTAGACAAGGTTATAGTCAAAGTGGAAGTTCTCTCCTCCCTTCAGAGAAAGGCACCTCCTTCTCTGATGGCCTGTTCTTTCTACTGGGATCTCACTCACAGAGATCTTTCATTTAGGGTGTTTTTTTTTTTTCCCAAAGTGTCTTGGATTTCCATGCCTAAAATACTCTCATGGGCTCTTCAGCCAGATCCGAATGCCTTAAGGGCTCATTCTGAGGCCAGAGTGCTGTTTAGGACATCTGCCATTCTATGAGTCTGCTGTGTATTCTGCTTCCCATGTTGGATCATTCTTTCCTTTTTAATTGTATCAGTTAGTATTAGCAGACACCAATCTTGTTTATGTGATACCTTTGTCTCTTAATCCTATCATTATGATCAATTCTGAACTGAAATTGATCACTTGGAATAGTGAGATGGCATTGGTACATGCCACCTTGATGGGATTGAATCAGAATTCTGATCCTCTGTTTCCAAGATCAGACGAGATTGGGTGCATTCAGGATGGTATGGCCATAAATGATCCTGTTTCCTTAGAGCACCCTTAGTCCATAGAGGGCATGAAAAATTGTTTCTCATGGGGTTGTTTGGCACATTTTGGCACACATTTAATTTAATATGCAAATTTCCCCCTCTCCATGCTTTCTATAGTTGTAGAAGACCCCTCGAAAACTGGTTTTATGATGTCAGATTGCCATGTTCTGTTAGGAGGAGTAGAAAGTGGTGTAAGCTGTATTTTCCTTGCTTTAAGTTTACTTGGTTCATAAAGTTAACTAAAATGGAGGTGAGCACTGTTTCCCAATTAAGTTGAGGCTGTCTAAGTATAATGACAAGATCTCTAACTAAGCCATTTACAAACACAAAACTCAAAGACATTTTAACAGCTATCACATTTGAGGGAGGCATTCAGAGTTTTCCTTATAAACTTTTCCACCTTTTTTTAGGGTGCAGTCTTGAATCCTTTTACAACCTGCTAGTTTAGTGAATGCTGAAGAATGGTTCTTGGCTCTTTCTTAGGTTTTTTTTCCCTGGTGGATAACATATTGCATTGGAGGTTCCTTAGAGGAATGTTCCAACCTACTTTGCCATCCAGTTGTGCCTGACCTTAGTCAGTGAGGATATGTATTAATTGAGAAAGGTCACACAAACAAATTCAAAAGTTTGTATAACAATTTGAAATTCTTCAGTCAATTTACAAAGATCCTCATTAAGCTTGGAGAACTCTTCAGCTATAGCCCTTGCTCAGACTTTGTTCAGGGTATACAGGAAATGTTTGAGAGAATGCCCTGGTTATTCAAATGGATCTTGAAAGGGTGAGTCTGAACATGTTTTGTAGGAACAGAGAAATCAGTATAAGCTTCAGGGTTCTAAGAGTAGAAGAGAAGCTCAGCAAGTGTGGGATAGGGAGGCAGAGGAGAAGGAGTTGGGGGAACAAGAGTTGGGGAAAGAAGCCTGAGCCTTGATGACTCTTCTTTCTCTTTTAATTTTTTTATTAGGCACTGTGAGTTCAGAGACTATGTTTTTGGAGAGAAGCAATCTTCAAGACCTGAATTTATTTGGACACCTCTAAATGTCAACTAAAATTTGCACCCCTATTCAGGTCATTTTGTGTTAGAACCAGTCTTCTAATTTAGTTGGGAGAAAATCAAGTTTTGGTATCTCAAAAGAATCTCAATTCTGTCCATCATAATTGTAAAATATATTTTGGATAAACGGTCCACTGTTCCAGATAAATAAAGGGAGCAAGAGCCATGCTTTTTGAATATATAGCCAGGTGGAGTCTCAGAAGGGGGACAATACTTACAAAGTATAGAATGATACTTACAATAATCATGCTGTCCAAGAGACTAACTCCTAACAAACTGGAAAACCCTTTAACAAACTATGAAAACTTCCATAGTTTAAAAGTCATGTTCAAAAAGGCTTCCTTCTTCCTTCACCTTCCAGAAACAATCAACTGCCCATCCTACTTCCTGAAGATAACATTCCATTTTTCCTCTCTGTGAATCTGCAACTACTTTAGCTCAACTTACCTATCCTTCCATGGATACAGCTCAAGAGCTAACTCTGTCAGTTCTCTCCAAGCCATTCACCACAAATCCTAGCCACAACTGTCTCTGAAACAGTCATCTGTTAATGCTAATCCCAGACCCAAAACCCTGCAGCTGCTTCCTCCTATTCTTAGGATAAAGCCCATATTCTCCCTACCCCTCAGCCAAGTCTTGTCAGATTCCCTCTGTATCTCCCACAATGGCTATCTCATAGCTCTTCCAGAAAGTCATGCTCCTGTCCTCTCTAAACATTCACACATCTCAGGCCAGCACCGAGGCTCAATAGGCTAATCCTCCGCCGAGTTCCAATCCCAGTCGGGGTGCCAGATTCTGTCCCGGTTGCCCCTCTTCCAGGCCAGCTCTCTGCTATGGTCCAGGAGTGCAGTGGAGGATGGCCCAAGTGCTTGGGCCCTGCACCCCATGGGAGACCAGGAGAAGCACCTGGCTCCTGCCTTCGGATCAGCGTGATGTGCCAGCTGCAGTGCGCTGGCCACGGTGGCCATTGGAGGGTGAACCAAAGGCAAAAGGAAGACCTTTCTCTCTGTCTCTCTCTCTCTCACTGTCCACTCTGCCTGTCAAAAATAAAAAAAATAAATAAATAAATAAATAAAAATAATAAACATTCACACATCTCACTCCCACTGCCTGGGACTCCCTTCCTGGTACCTGCCCTTTGCTCAGGTACTCCTGCTATCCTCTATAAACAACAGATGAAACTTCACCCTCTTAAGAGAAGCCTTCCTGATCACTCCAGACTATGACAGTTTTCCTCCTTTAACCTCTCGTAACAGCATTTACTTCTCCCTAACAGCATGCATCATACTTAGAATGCAGTGAAGGAATTGTGTTTCTTTCTTGCGTGTATCAGCCCAAGGGGTAAGAGTTCCATAGGAGGAGAGTGATTCTATCATGTCTCCCCTTTATCTCAGAGCCCAGCATAATGTCTAACACATAGTATGCTCAGTTAAATGTGTTGTGTAAATTAACACCCTTTCACCTATATGCAGAAGGAATCTTAACAAGAATTTCATACACTGTCAATGGTTCAGCACAATATGCCCAATTGTACACTGCTCTTGGAAATATGATTTGTCACAACCTTTTTAGAAAATAATTTTACCAGATGCATTCCAAGTTTTACTTTTGAACTGGTATTTCCATTCAAAAGAAATAAGCTTAAGCACTTGCACAAAAGCTTCTGCACAGATGTTTTGTGTCTCATTATTTGTAATACTGAAAAATATGAATAACATAAATATCCAACAATAGTTAAGTAAATTAAGGTTTGGCATTTAAATAAACTATTACTTCACTATTTTTTAATTATGTGTACAGAGGTTTGGAATAACTTTGGGCAATGTTCATTTTCTAATGTATGTGATTAACAGCCACAAAATTATATAGACAGAATGAACTTAACTATGTACAAAAGTATATGTAGAAAAAAGAATAAAACTATGAAGAAATAATAAGGACCATAATAATGATAAGAATGGCAGTAATGTTAAGAACCAGCACTTATGAGGAATTGGCTGAGTATTGGCCATTGCTATGCTTTACATACATGGATTCACTCAGTGCTCACAACTCTATGATTTCAGTTAGCTCACTATTATTTCCATTTTTAAGATGAAGAAAACAAGTCTCAGAAAAGGTTAAATAACTTGTTGAGAGCCACCAAAGATGTCCAATGTCAGAGTCAGAACACTTTGAAGTAATAAAATATTCCCCAGTAGCAGTCATATCATCCCTTGATTATATGATTATAGGACATTCTCCCTATATTTTTCTATTCTAGTTCCTATAAAAAATGCATAACTTCATAAAAATTATTTTTTAAAGATTTACTTATTTATTTGAAAGGCAGAGTTACAGAGAGGCAGAGGCAGAAAGAGAGGTCATCCATCCACTGGCTCACTCCCTAAATGGCTGCAATGGTTGGAGCTGAGCCAATCCAAAGTCAGAAGCCACATCTGGGTCTCCCACATGGGTTCACAGAAGCCCAAGCACTTGGGCCATCTTCCACTGCTTTCCCAGGCACATTATCAGGGAGCTGGATTGGAAGTGGAGTGGCCAGGATTTGTCCTGTGCCCATATGGGATGCCTCACTCCAGGCAGTGGCTTTACCAGCTTTGCTACAGCACCAGCCCTGAAAAAAAAATCTTTAAAAAAAACTCACTATAATTAAACTAAATTATTACTTACTTCAGAGCCAACAAAATGTTCTTCTTTGGGACAATCTTTATGCCAAAACAATCCTGGAAGTGGAATATTAATTATGAAAGTGTATTGTTTCAGAGGCTTACAGCTTTGCCTTTAAATGACAGCTATCAGAAATGTCAAGATTACCTGGCTGCATTAGAAAATCAGACCAAGAACACTATATTGGGAGTTCTTTCCTAAATGCAAGTCTCCATCTCCTTATGTAGCCATCTTTGCCAATCACCATCATTGGGAAGTAGAAATTACATAGTTTTGATCAAGCTATTCTTTTTATTATTTATTTCAGTTTTAATTAGTTTTTTAACATTCAATCTGATTTGTAGATACAGTTCTAACAATGATAAAGATGTTTCTTGACTCCATCCCTCCCTCCTTCCTTTTTTAGTTTTTGAGGTAATATATTTTAAAATTACATTATAGTAAAAAGGCTTAATACTTCACCAGATAAGAAGTTGAACAAATAAAAAGGTAAAAAGGCCCTAGTTTAGTGAGAATATAGAACACAGCTATAACTAACAATTGAATGGAAAAATGATCATTTAACCCATATACCATAAATTTTACAATAATCACAGATCATAAAACTCTAGTATAACTTCTTTTACTGGTTTGTTTAAAGTTTTTTTTTTTTTTTTCACAGAGTTACACAGTGAGAGAGACAAAGAGAAAGGTCTTCTTTCTGTTGGTTCACCCCCAAATGGCCGCTACAGCCAGCGCTGTGCTGATCCGAAGCCAGGAGCCAGGTGCTTCCTCCTGATCTCCCATGCGGGTGCAGAGCCCAAGCACTTGGGTCATCATCCACTGCCCTCCCGGGCCACAGCAGAGAGCTGGACTGGAAGAGGAGCAACCGGGACTAGAACCCGATGCCCATATGGGATGCCAGTGCCACAGGAGGAGGATTAATCAAGTGAGCCACAGCAGTGGACCATAGTATAACTTCTTAACCATTGCCTTAACAAAGCGATAAAACAATGTTTTATTAAACTATATTTGCAGCAACACTGATACACAGAAATCTTTCTTTTCTGTTTGCTTTTTAAATTACAGCTCCCAAATATAGGGAGAACTTGTGGTATTTGTCTTTCTGGTTCCAGCTTACTTCACTCAACAGTATGTCCTCCAGTTGCATCTCTTGTTTTGCAAATGGTAGAATTTCATTCTTTTTATAGCTAAATAATATTCCAATTCCATTGTGTATATAAACCACATTTTTTATCCATTCATCTGATGATGGAAACCTTGGGTGGTTCCAAATTTTGGCTGTTGTGAACAGTGCTGCTATAGCCATGGCGGTGCAGCTATCTCTTTGATACACTGTATTCAAGTCTTTTTTTAAAAAAAAAAATTGCAATCACAGTTACTTAGAGAGGAGAGATAGAGAGATCCTACATATGCTGGTTCACTCTCCAAATGGCCACAACAGCCAGGGCTGGGAAAGGCTGAAGCCAAGAGCCTGGAGCTTTATCCAGGTCTTACACATGGGTGATGAGGGCCCAAGGACTTAGGCCATCCTCTACTGCCTTCCCAGGGGCATTAGATGGGAGCTGGATCAGAAGTGAAGCAGCTGGGACTCAAACAGGCACCCAAATAGGATGCTGGCACTGTGGATGGCAGTTTAATCCACTATGCCACAGAACCAGCTCTGTTCAAGCCTTTTGGGTATATACCCATTAGTAGGACTGCTGGATCATATGGCAAATCTGTTTCTAGTTTAAGAAATCTTTACACTGTTTTCCACAGTGGCTGCACTAATTTACATTCCCACCAAGAGTATATAAGTGTTCCCCTTTTTCCACATCCTCAGCAACATTTGTTACCTTTTGTGTTTTGGATTTTAGCCATTCTAACAGGGGTGAGATTATCTCACTTAATGGTTTTGATTTGCATTTCCCTAAAGCCTGGTGATATTGATCATTTTTTCATGTAGTTGTTGACCATTTGTATTTCTTCCTTTGTGAACTGTCTATTGAAGTCTTTTGCCCAGTTCTCAACTGGATTGGTTGTTTTCTGTTGTTGGTGTTGAGTTTAAGTTGCTGATACTGTTTGGGATATTAATCCTTTGTCAGGTGGGTTTGCAAATATTTTTTTTCCCACTCTGTTAGTTGTCTCTTCATTCTATTGATCATTTCCTTTGCTGTGCAGAAGCTTCTGAGTTTGATAAAGTCTCATTTTTTAGATTTATTTATTTGAAAGGCAGAGTTACAGAGAGGCAGAGGCAGAGAGAGAGAGAGGTCTTCCATCCTCTGGTACATTACCTAGATGGCTGCAATGGCTGCAGCTGCACTGATCCGAAGCCAGGATCCAGGAGCCCAAGGACTTGGGTCATCTTTTACTGCTTTCTCAGGCCATAGCAGAGAGCTGGATCAGAAGTGGAGTGGCCATCCATGTGGGAGACCCAGAAGAAGCTCCTGGCTTTGGATTGGTACAGCTCCAGGCATTGTGACCACCTGGGGAGTGAACCAGCAGATGGAAGACCTCTCTCTCTCTCTCCTTCTCTCTCTGTAACTCTGCCTTTCAAATAAATAATCTTTAAAAAAAGAAAAAATAGTGGAGCAGCCAGGACTCAAACCAGCATCCATATGGGGTGCCAGTGCTACAGGCGGTGGCTTTTTCTGCCTATGCCACAGTACTGGCCACAATATAGACCCATTATTTTTTAGTTTCACTTTTGTTACCTACACTTTGGAGTCTTGACCAAGAAGTCATCCCCTACATTTTCTTCCTGCAACTTCATAGTCTCAGGTCTTAAATTTAGGTCTTTGACCCACTTTGAGTTGATCTTGTACATGGTGTGAGGTACAGATCAAATTTCATCCATATATATATATATATATATACACACACATATATACATACATACCCAGTTTTGTCAGCACCATTTGTTGAAGAGATTATCAGTATCATCTGACCACTTCAGTCAAAAATCAGTTGGCTGTATGTGCATGGATTGATTTCTGGGCTCTCTATTCTGCTCCCTGGATCTTAGTAGTAGTTTTTATGCCAGTTCCAAGTTGTTTTAATTGCTATAGTTTTGTAGTATGCTTTGAAATTAGGTATTGCAATGCCTCCACCTTGTTTTTTCTTGCTTGGGATTACTTTGGCTATTTGGGGTCTTTTGCAATTCTATGTGAATTTTAGGATTTTTTTTCTAACTCTGTAAAGAATGCCATTGATATTTTGATAGAGATTGCACTGAATCTATAAATTGCTGTAGGTAATAGACATTTTGATTATATTGATTCTTCTGATCCATGACCAAGGAATATCTTTCCATTTTTTGTGTCCTGGATGATTTCTTTCATCAATGCTTGATAATTTTTACTGTGGAGATCTTTCACTTCTTTGGTTAAATTTATTCCTCAATATTTTATTTTTCTTTGTGGCCATTGTGAGTGGGATTTCCTTCTTGATTTCTGTGAATTCATTATTAGCATACAAAAAGCTGGTTTTTTGCATGCTTATTTTGTAACCTGCAACTTTCCTGATTGGTTTATCAGCTTTTTGGTAGAGTGTTTAGGTTTCTCCATGTGCAGCATCATGTCGTCTGGAAATATGGATAATCTGGCTTCCTATTTTCCAATTTTTATGTCTTATTTCTTTCTCCTTCCTAATTGCTCTCACTAAAACTTCTGGTACTATGTTGAATAACAGTGATAAAAGTGGGCATCCTTGTCTTGTTCCAGCTCTGAGGAGAAATGCTTTCAATTTTTCTCAATTCACTATGATACTGATTGTTGGTTTGTAATATACAGCCTTTGTAATTTTGAGGAATGCTCATTCTATACCTAATTCGTGGAGGATTTTTATCATGAAGTGGTGCTGAATATTATCAAATGCTTTATCTGCATCTACCAAGATGACCAAATGGTTTTTGTTCTTAATTCTAGTGATGTGATATATGACATTTTTGATCTGCAAATGTTGAAATACCCTTACATTTCTGGGATAAATACTACTTGGTTTTTTTATCTTTCTGATTTGCATTTGATCTGCCTGGCATTTTGTTGAGAATGTTTGTGTCTGTTTATTAAGAATCTGTTAAGGATATAGGTCTGTAGTTTTCTTTTCATGCCGTCTACTTGCTTGGTTTCCATATGAAAGTTATGTTGTCCTCAGAAAAAGAGTTTGGCAGAATTCCATATGGCTTATTTTTTTAAAAGGTTTTATTTCTTTATTTGAGAGGTAGAGTTATAGACAGTGAGAGGGAGAGACAGAGAGAAAGGTCTTCGTTCCATTAGTTACTCCCCAAAAGACTGCAACGGCTGGAGCTGCACTGATCCGAAGCCAGGAGCCAGGAGTTTCTTCTGGGTCTCCCACATGGGTTAAGGGGCCCAAGGACTTGGGCCATCTTCTACTGCTATTCCAGGCCACAGCAGAGAGCTAGATTGGAAGAGGAGCAGCCAGGACTAGAACCGGCACCCATGTTGGATGTCGGCCCCGCAGGTGGCAGATTAACCTACTGTGCCACGGCGCTGGCCCCCTTTGTACTATTTAATATTTTGGAATAGTTTGAAGAGTATTGGAGTTACTTCCTCTTTGAATGTTATGCAGAATTCAATAGTAAAGCCATCAGGTCCCCGACTTTTCCTTGATGGAAGACTTTTGATTACTGCTTCAATCTCATTGCTTGTTATGGGTCTGTTTAGATTGTCTATATCTTCTTGATTTAACCTTGAGAGGTTATATGAACCCAGAAATTTATCCATTTCTTCAAGGTTTTCCAACTATTCTTATGATCCTTTTTATTTCAGTGGTGTCAGTTGTCATGTCTACTTTTTCATCTCTTATTTGAGTTTTTTCTCTTCTTTGTTAGTCTGGCTAGAACTTTTACTGTTGATCTTTTGTATTTTTTTGTTTAAATTTCATTTATTTCTGCTTTGATCCTTATTATCTCTTGCCTCCTGCTGATTTTGGGTTTGGTTTGTTCTTGCTTTTCTAAGTCCTCAAGATGCATCATTAGATCTTTGAGATATTTTTCTTTTTTTAAACACTTAATGGTATAAACTTCCTTAATACTGTTTTTGCTATATTCCAC